ATAAAATAGTTCATAAAGTCCTTCCACCCCATAGGTGTATGAAGGTCTTCCTCCTTATAAAGGTGTGGTATCGGATAGTCCGATTTTAAATGCGCCTTTGTGCACTTTATGCAGATGACCAGACTAGACATGCAGATCCTAAGGACACATGGACCATCCCTCTCAAATACTGACATCGGCCTTGGGGTGCAGTACCTCCAGTCCCTTTCGTTCCAAAAGATAGGCAGGCAGGGGTCCCCCTCCTGGTTCCAGGTACCCCAGAAATGGTAGATTCGCAGATCCTCGGCGCTGTAAACCACGTGACAGAGCACAACGGGAGGGGCGGGGACTTCAGGTTACGGAAGCCGAGAGAGAAGGTTCTCTCTCTCGGCTTCCGTAACCTGGAAGTCCCCGCCCCTCCCGTTGTGCTCTGTCACGTGGTTTACAGGCGCCGACGATCTGCATCTACCATTTCTGGGGTACCTGGAACAGGAGGGGGACCCCTGCCTGCCTATCTTTTGGAACGAAAGGGCTCTATATACCTGGAGGTACTGGCACCCAAGGCCGATGTCAGTATTTGAGAGGGATGGTCCATGTGTCCTTAGGATTGCATGTCTGGCTGGTCATCTGCATAAGAGTGCACAAAGGCGCATTTAAAATGTGCGGTCGGTGAGTGCGCATTTTTTCTATCCGATACCAGTCACCTTTTAAGGAGGAAGACCTTCATACACCTATGGTCCAAAGGACTTTATGACATTTTTATTTGTATTCAATTTTAGCATGTTCTTTTTTTAATTAATACACCAGCGCTGCAATATATTAAATTCTTGCTTAAAGGTCCAGTGATTCCTTAGAGTGTTCCAGCAGCTGAACTGAGGCGGACTTCCTAATAGACTCACAGTGCTTTGAAAAAGTATTCATACCCCTTGAAATTTTCCACATTTTGTCATGTTACAACCAAAACATAAATGTAATTTATTGGGATTTTATGTGATAGACCAACAAAAAGTGGCACATAATGCTGCAGAGCTGCAGACCTCCACAGCTCAAATGGGAGAATCTGTCCACAGGACAACTATTAGTCGTGCACTCCACAAATCTGGCCTTTTTGGAAGAGTGGCAAGAAGAAAGCCATTGTTGAAAGAAAGCCATAAGAAGTCCCAATTGCAGTTTGCCAGAAGCCATGTGGGGGACACAGCAAACATGTGGAAGAAGGTGCTCTTGTCAGAAGAGACCAAAATTGAACGTTTTGGCCTAAATGCAAAACTCTATATGTGGCAGAAAACTAACACTGTACATCACCCTGAACACACCATCCCCACTGTGAAATATGATGGTGGCAGCATCATGGTGTGGGATTGTTTTTTTTTCAGCAGGAACAGGGAAGCTGGTCAGAGTTAATGGGAAGATGGATGGAGCCAAATACAGGGCAATCTTAGAGGAAAACCTCTTTGAGTCTGCAAAAGACTTGAGACTTTTCCTTCCACTTCACAATTATGCGCCACTTTGTGTTGGTCTATCACATAAAAATCCAATAAAATACATTTATGTTTTTGGTTGTAACATGACAAAATGTGGAAAATTTCAAGGGATATGAATACTTTTTCAAGGCACTGTATCCTCTTGCCTGCCCCTTGAGTCTAATACTCGAGAACAGACAGTTGTCAAGTCATCAGGGGACACCTCTGTTTATTAGTCTCCTGACCTGATCTACACTGAACATCACATGAATCTGCAAAACCTTCATATCTGGACAGGCTGGAAAACTCCCTCTGCAACAGACTGCATGACCTCTTCTCTATGGTGAACAGTGTTGAGTGTGTCATTCATGACCACACTGTGTTTACTAGAGTATTACCTTTTGGATACTCTCATCTGATGATCCTTAGTTTGATAAGTAAGGATTCTGCATGCCAATTTCCTTCTTTTCCTCCTTGCAAGGAGGTACCAATCGATGGAAAGTCCGGTACTCCCCTGAGCAGTCAGCAGGCAGGAAACACTGTTACCCTGCTGAAGATGTTCCCTAAAAGAGACTGCAAGTCTGGAGGCCTTCTCATGACCTGCTGTCTGAGAAATAGATCTTTTTTCTGTGGCCAACTTGGGATCTTCTAAGGAAGTCTGCTTATATTCCCATTAATATAACTAGGATTCCTACCCCACACTCCTTGGCACAGGATTCTGCTCTATGCAGGGGTAGATTGGATGATTGTAGAGTTTTATATTGGTTAGACAGGTTTGCATTGTGGCTATCAAACTGCAGAAACACCTATGGGTGTTGTCAGGAAGCACTCCTACTTAATCCTTCTGGTTGTTGACCACCCTAACCGACCAGTAAAGATCTCAAGAGCACTACAAGAGTATTAGCACACTTATCATGCCTAAACCTGTTCTCTCCCTTCTTTTGGCTGGAGTCATAGAGACACCTAGGTTTGAGAAATGTTATGTTAATGCAGTTTACCATCAAGAAAAATGAGTAAGGGAGGGTTATTATAACCCCTGTCAGATTTTCTTTTTTTGCCACCCATGCCCCATTGCAGAGATTTCCCTTCGCTTCCTGTCCAATAATCAAACAGGAAGTGAGAGGAAATCCCTGCAAATTAAGGGAATTCCTTGGGGACCCCCAGGCCACCAGAACTAGTGTCCCCATTGGAAGATTTCTGCTCTATTGCTTTTCTGGGGATTACCCAAAGTTTGTGATTTTCTTTTACTTTCACTTTCAATGATAGAGGTAAACAGAACAAATAGAGGGGGGGGGGATATCCCTAAAGAAGACACAAACCGCACTAAAAATGGACAGGTGTTCTAACCCCTCTGCACTCAAAAACGGAAAAAGAAGGTTTAGTTTATACTTTAAGTTAGTGGAAAAAATGTTTTTCAGATTTAGATACAGGATGATGGGTTAAACCATCTCAAATTATTATACATATCTCTGACTCTGGTTACTCTAGTTTTTACTTGCTTACTCCATCACTCACCAAGTCCATTACTTTGTGTTCCTTAATAATTAATAAAGGCTGCAACATTAGAACAAAGTAAATACTGCGGAGAGGATATCTTGCCATGTCAGTCTCTTTGAGATATAGGAAGGTGTTGGGTGATGAAACCAAACTTTTTTTTTTTCCAAAAACCAAGTGGTTTAGTAAAGAAAGGTTAGTGAAGCCAATGATTTCATAGCTAGTTTCGTTTCCCATGACCTTTCTCAACAGATGCACTTTTTACTTAATTTAGGTAAACTACAAAACTATGTGCATATTCCAAAGTGAAGTCACTATTGTTTCTTGACTATGTGATGGACCTCATGCATTATTAATGTGTTAAGGGGTTTTCTATATAGATCTGCCCTCTACAAATTGTATTCCCTCTGTCACTATAATGCTGTTTGCCGCCCTGAGCATTATACTCCTGACATATAAACAAGTTCCAAATGAAGTCACGCTTCTATTGCATTAGTGTCTTGGTCCTGCTATTCTTCATTGTCCTTTCCAGTGTCAGATAAACAAACAGCTCTGAATCATACACGCTTGTAAAGGGATATCACACATTTAAAATATTTCTACAGCCATAATCTGTTTTGCCATGGGAACCTAATTCTGTGATCTTGCAACACGTGGTGTTCTGCAGATGCACATCCTGAACTATAAGCTGTAGACATAACAGATTAAAACTTGACATTGGCTAAACATTGTGCAAACAGGCAAAATATTTGTTTTTTAAACTAAAAAGTCTCACATATAGGAGTTATAACTCCCAGATGTCTTTTGGGCCAAAATACCTTTTGTCCCACTTGTCTCTACAGTTGTTTCTTTTTTAAGCCTGTATGTATTTCTAGTGTCCGAATTGATGTTGGCCCTTAGGATAGATTGTGTTGTAATATACAAGAGTAGAACTCAGAGGCACTGCACAGCTGTACCAAAGTGCTTACAAAACTAGCCAATACACTGTCCCTAAGGCTACGTTCACACTAGCGTTGTGTGCAGGCGGCAGAGAGGCGTTTGGGAAGCGTTTTTACCGCTTCCCAAATGCCTCTGACAATTCTGCACATTGTAGCACATGGTGCTGTTCTAATGGGAGCGTTAGCATCTACTGTGGAGGGGGCAGACAGAGGACACTACTGTGTGGTGGCTCTAATGGAAAAAAAAAGGGCATCCAAGAGGCGCTGGGACTTTAATATGAATTTAAACAAGGTAGTGAGAAAACATTTGAAGAGCCCAATGGCTCAAGTTAGGCTGCTCACAACTGACAAGGCCACCCTCCAGTAGGTACTGCAGCAGGTTACCAGAAGAAGACATGCATATGTGAAAGGAGTGTCAGACCAAAAGATAAGAGTCGAAAATCATTTACTGATATTGTGGTAAAAAGACATCCAACGCTTTTCGGGGGTCAAAGGACCTCCCTCTTCATCAGGGCTTCAGTTAAAAATGAGAACCTTGAGAGGACTCAAAGTAAAGCTTTCCTGTTTGAATCTGTGCAGGGAAGCTGATTGCTGGATTAGGATTCCTGGCCAGCAGTATCTGTATAGGCAGTCAAAATAAGGCTCATTTTGACTGATGATGCATATACTGCTGGCCATGAATCCTAATCCAGCAATCAGCTTCTCTCAACAGATTCAAACAGGAAAGCACAATAACACAATATCAATAAATTAATTTGGAGTTGTTGATCTTTTGATCTGGAACTCCTTCCATATACAGTGCTCCCCATAAATGAGTACACCCCAACAAATTTGTCAGAAAATCTTTACTTTCCTTTCAGAATCCACATTTACTATGGGACATTATACTACAAAATACTCCCACGAATGTGGGCCATTGAGTGCAAACAAGATTCGTTAATTTGCACACACAAAAAGTATATTTCCTAACAAATTCATTCAAGACCATATTGCAAAAATGAATACAATCCAATGAAAGCCTTGGAGCAAGGCTAAATTTTAGACAACAGAATCCTAATTAACAAGTATTCAACTACAGGTGAGTCTGATTATTCATTAACAGGGGCGGACTGACCATTGGAGAACTCGGGCACTGCCCGAGGGCCCGGGGTCAGTAGGGGGCCCCATGAAATGCGCCTGGTACCTTTTTTATAGGCTTTTTTTGAGTGTGGGCAAGGAAACAGGGGCCCCATGATCCCCTATTGCCCAGGGGCCCCATTAGTTGTCAGTCCGCCCATGTTCATTAAACAGGTGTCCAGCAGACAGTTGAATATAAAAGAGCGTTGCTTAACAAAGAAAACCCCTCCCATTTCATGCAATGGCACCACATGGAAGAGAAATGTCACAAGGCCTGCGAAAGGCGAAGGCTACAAGAAGATCAGCAATCTTTACTTATCAGTCAGAATACTGTAGCAAAAGTGATACAAAAATTTAACAAAGATGGAACTAAACCATCCAGAAATGCTGTATTTCTGAAGAAGAACAGGGTGAAAGTGATTCAGTGGCCAAGTATGTCTCCTGATCTGAATCCAATCGAACACCTATGGGGAATTCTGAAGAGACAAACTGAGCATCACTCTCCATCCAGCATCCAGGCTCTAAGGCTTGCCGTACATTATACAATTTTCTTTAGAAAATTGCTTTAGATTTACCAAAAACCATATAATATGAGGTCAAACCTAAACAACACTTTCAATTGTATCCAATTAGGCAGGCTCTTGCACTACATAGTTGAAGGTAAATCTAAAGGAAATTGGGCAGAAATTGAACCGAAAATTGTATAGTGTATGGCCAGCCTAAAAGAGGTCGTTCTTGAAGAATGGAAAAAGATCGATGTTGCAATATGTCGCCAACTTGTTTATTCCATGCCTAGAAGACTTGGTGCTGTCTTTACAAATCATGGAGGTCATACAAAATACTAGATGGAGTAGTTTTTGTTGTGGGGTGTATTCATTTTTGCATCAACTAATTTGAGTAAAACTGAAGATTTTGTAATCTAAGTTATATTATTAACCTTAATTTCATGTAATGAGCTAAACAAATGTTTTATAAGACTCAGTTTTGTCAAAATTTTGGAAATTGTTCTTGTGTTCAATGAGATATTGATTAAAATCTTACTTTTCAAAAGGGGTGCACTCATTAATGCTGAGCACTGTACATATAGAGTATGTGGTGCACGTTCTGTGCAAGTCAGTGTGATGGGATTTTCAGCCAATTCATTGAAATGGGCTGAAATCAAACTGGATTGCAGAAAAAAAAAGGAGTGCATGCAATACTTTTCAAAAACATACTGCACCAAATCGCATGATATTGCTCTACCGTGCGATCTCATGCAGGCAAGTGCACTTTGTTTATGATCTGCATTTGGGGTGTTGTTCAGAATATTTTGACACTCACAGAAGATTGTACAGGCAGTGCGTTTTGAGCATGGTGCGGGAAATGCGCATGGAACACACCTTTCCCGCACTGTGGTCTGGTGTGAATCAGCCCTCAGAACAGGATTGTGATATAGGAGAAGTGAGCTCTGATGTGAAGCATCTGAGTTATCACACAAACATACGATTCAGACCTCTGATGGAAGAAAATTTTACTGATCAACCTCTGTAAATTTTAATCTAATACCCATGATTTAAAATGGTCTCTAATATCTTCAAATTATACTTTGGACTTTAATCTAGTTACAGCTTGTTTATTTTGGAAGATGCTTTGTCAGAAAACTTTAGTTTTATGGCTTGTGTGGACCCAGAGCCAAAGACATGTATGTTTATAAAGCTTTGTATTCGATCTTGGGCCCTGGATAGCCTTCCATGTCTCTGGGGCTGAGACAAGTTATAAAATACACTTCTATACTTTTGATTTTATTTACATTATTTTTCTTTTGTGCGATTAAAGACGTGATTTAGTGGTAAATTCAGTGACCTGCAAAACAAGAGTTTCTCCAAAACATTAAGTTCTCCAGGAAACAGTAATTTGTTGGGTCAGTTTCTCTATTACATTAAACACCAATTTTGTTAAAATATATATGCTTGTGTAAGTTTTCAAGAAGTAACTTTGAGTTTGTTATTTACATTATTTCCATTTATCTGCAGCTATATTTAGGGTTACCAGCTGATTTCATTTCTGACACCTTTGGCAACAAACAATCTTGGTGGATACAATGAAAAACAAAAGTTATAAAATAATTAAAGCCCAAAACAAAAATGTTACATATTGCAGGTCACCAGTCCTAAAATTAGGTGGCTGCATTAATTTTTCTTTTTCACCTGGTAATCATTGGATAACATATTTCTTGTCTTTAGGTGTCTATGTTCACTCCTCCACTATATCTCTGGGGGCAGTAATTGTTGTCACCCAGGCTGGACTTCAAACATATGTGCCTTTGTTCATCTCCTTTATATGAGGATGGGGAAATTAGTAGTAAAATAAGACAAAACTTTCATTTCAGTTCAGAGGAAATGACAAGGACATTGCAATTTTGGCAAGATAAACATGCATTTTCTTTTCTTGCTAAAATTGTCTTTAGCCTGAAAAAAGAAAACTATGTGTCCCTTATTTCTAGGGAGACCACCATTCAGGTACAGCAGACAGTTGAAGTATGCCTCCTGGGGCTAGTGGACAACTTGGCACCTCATAGAGCTTCTAGGACTCTTCTTGGGCTATTGTTATTTTATGCCAGAAAAGCGATTGTATTCAAATGGAAGTCCCCTGTTGCTCCCACTCTACATTTTTGGAAACACTTGGTCAATCTGAATTTTCCATTTTATAAGGCCACATATCAATCAAGAGGCTGCCCAAAAAAAGTTAATAAGTCGAACCCAAAAACCCAGGTTGAACTATTCCGAGAAGGGAAAAGTCCTATGGTCTTCTTTACGGTTCTCATGGAGATCCATAGTTTGCTTTCTCAGTACTGATATGGGGTGTACTCACCCTTTTTTATAGCCCCCTGAGATGGATGATCTCATTCAGCCTTCCTACGTGGAGTTGAGTGTACCTCTTAGGCTCTGTTTTGTAACTTAACTTTTGGAATTCAATAAAAAGAATTAAAAAAAAAAAAAAAGAAAACTATTACAGCCACCACATCTTAGGACTGGTAAACTGCAATATATTAAATTTTTTGCTCTTTGGTTTAATATCCATTAACCTATGTATCTTTTTAACAAACCTGAGCCCTCAGCCTAACACTTTAATTGTGTTTTCTTTAATAAAACTGGACTTCTCTGTAAACACAGCATGTTGTTGCTGTGAGAGATCATAATCAGTACAGCAACACATTATTATCATTGCACATGTCTGTTCATGTGAATAATCACTCCAAACAGAAATCAACTTATACCAGATATCAGCGCTGCTTGTCAGTGCAGTCGCAGTACTATCCTACACCAAACCAAAGCTTGTGAACCGTCATGTTTCAAAATGAATAACAGCACAACGTGCTAATGCAAGTAACTTGCTTTGCAGTCAGGGGCGGACTGACAACTCATGGGCCCCCGGGCAATAGGGGATCATGGGGCCCCTGTGTCCTTGCCCAAACTCAAAAAAGCCTATGAAAAAGGTACCAGGGGCATCTCATGGGGCCCCCTACTGACCCCAGGCCCTCAGTGTTCGAGTTTCGAAATGGTCAGTCTGCCCCTGTTTGCAGTATAACTCTCATTGCCATGGCAGGGGGAGTGAACAGGCCCTTACTGTGCATGATCTAGATCCAAGTTCAGTTTAAGTTCTAAGTCTAAATTAGGAAGTAACAGATTAATCTTTCTGGCTGGGCGCTGAGTGTGGATCATAAGACTTGCTGAACATAAATAAAATTCCTTTTAAAAGATGTATCATTTGATATGCTATTGTAAATAATGCACAATACATAAGTGAGGAAAGTGTGTAACCTTGATTGTAAATTCTTAGCATTTTCTCAATAAAGGGCAATGTGTTGAGGAAAAATCCCCCTTATTAAATTATGGTTTTAATATTTATGTTTTGGCCTTACAGCTGAAGCCAGGAGGAACTCCATGCAGGGACTCAAATAATTTCTGTGATCTACCTGAATTCTGCACTGGAAGCAGCGCACAGTGCCCGCCCAATGTCTACCTACATGACGGTCACCCTTGCTACACACTGGATGGATACTGCTACAGCGGCATGTGTCAGACCCACGAGCAACAGTGCGTCACACTCTGGGGACAAGGTAGGCACCATCTTTCCCGTAACAACCATTCTTTACACGAGCATTGGTTGGTTGGGTTCCAAAAAGAACTGGGGCACTCAATGGGTACCTAGATTGTTCTGGTTCCCAAAGAATAATGCTAGAAAACTTGGTGAGGCTGATCTTATTTTCCCCTATTCTGCTTTGCTGTCTTCCTTTTTGTTTTCCCTTTCCTACTGCATTCCCTTGGCACCTAGGCATTAGTGCTCTGGTCCTTCTGCTTATAGGGGTCCCAGGTCCAAGTAAAAAGTACCCACAAAATATCTTAGAATGCCTAGGATTAGTAATGACTAGTAATCTAATTCTGTGATTACTGAAATTAAAAAGCTAATGTATTATCATTTCAGTAAAAGTGTTTCAATTCACTTATCAGCAACCGCTTGCCTCTATCCTGGCTATGCTTAATACAGATTCAGTTATTCCCAATATACCAATATACAACCCTACTGTTTGAAATTCAATACCTTTTATCATGCTTCCTGACAATGGTAATTCTCACTGTCTATCTGTCATCATTGGTATCTGAGTCTCCATGTAAAACTATTGACATATATTTGACCCTATTTTGGTAGAGTTGTATTTCTATATTTTTATATTCATTCTACCTCGTGTAATTGTAACTCCCATTTTACAAAAGTTTAATAAAATAAGATTGAACAAAAAAAATTAATCAATTCAGAAGTAGATAAACCACTTAAACCAGAAAGTATTTTGTGCATCATTGATTTACAAGATACAATCTTAGAAACAAAGTTTAGCAATGAATGAATTATGGGTGTCTACAAAATTATACTTCATAATGGCTGCAATACTGCAAAAGGATACCTGGGGCTGGGGCACACGGCCTGGGTGCAAGGATCCAGCAATGCCCCTGTCTACACATATAAGCACACAGTTTATAGTTAAAATGATCTCTTTCCACATTGCCTTTTGCAGTTTTCAAAGGTGATACACCAAGCTTTGAGTGTGAAGTTGTAGTTCTGTATATACAGTATGAATATATGAGCAGTTGGAAATTATTTTATATCAATAACAATGGTCACAGATTTTACAGCAAACTGACAAAAAGGTGTGTGTATTATCTATCCCTCAAAACGGTGCTTTGTAGAATTATTTGATCCTGCACTAGAGAACTCGATATGCGTAAAAAGAAAGGGCAACTCCAGGACCGTCTGCCCAGGCCAAAGAAGGGTGTATGGATATGCTTTTAAGATATGGGATAGATATGGTATAATATGTATGGGACATTTAACCCCAATTTCATTTTCCAGTTACATTTGGAAACTTGGAATTATAGAGTCCGTATTCAAAACACATGTGTAGACATTCTTTGGGGTTCATTTACTAAAGACAAATAGGCTGTTCACTTTGCAAGGGAAGTTGAATTTTGCATGTTCCCCATAGTTTAGTAAATGTAGTGAAATTTCACTTTGCAAAAATACCCAATCACAGGCAAGAAAAAATTCCCATGCAAGGTGAAATGTTTGCCTTTAGTAAATCAACCCCATTGCCTTCTAGCATTGTGGGTAGAAGACCACCCACCTCTCCATTCCTTAAGTGGGACAGAATCGTGGGTTGGCCTGTAAGGCTGCTGTATACATGGCCTGAACAAGGGGCACCCTAAAATATGGCAGCTGTGGAGTTAAAAGAGAGAAGACAATCAAAAGTTCTGAATTTGTGCATGGTGTACAAAGGGATAAAGCTCCATTTAGTGGATACAGTTTTCTATGCTGGACTCGGAGAGAAAAAATTGTTTTGTTTTGTTTAAAAGTATAATCATACATTTCCAGTAAATTTGATATAAAGCAACATAGGGGTTCATAATTTTTTTGTAAATAGATTATTTTGTTATTCTTGTAGCATTATTCCTATACAGGCTCTTAAAGTACCCAGTATCTAGTGGGAAATATTTTTTGTTGCCATAGGGATGTTGTAAAAGACAGCTTTTATCTAATGTTGGCTGCAGGGAAGATAAGTTGCTGTGTGCTCCGGTCATACAGAGAATGAGCTGTACAGTAATGTGATTAATTGCACACTGTATATACTGAGCATTGCAGACGCAGGAAATGCTGGGCAGATAAAGAATTATACAGTAGAAGGAGAGCAATGAGATTCCTGACTATTCATTATCCCAGTTGGAGTGACACAGTGTAGCATCAGGTCAGGATTGACACCGCTGGAAAACATGTTGAACTCAGGACTTCCTGTGCAGAAAACTTCCTCAGGAAATGCTGCTAGCATAATGTTTTATCAGTTATAGCTGGTGCTCATTTACATTTGGTGCAGCTATTGAATGATATCCCTGATAAACATGTGCTTATTTATAATCTGTGATGTAACCATAGATTATTTCCCCCAGTCTATCTTCAGATCCACAGCTGTTTCCACTAATAACACCGAGGTTTATTTAGTACATTGGATTATCCAAGGTGACCATCAGGAGGGATTCCAGTAGAGGCCGAGAAACTGTCTGTGGATATGGGACATGGTGCCATGGCTCCCTTCTGTTGCAAATCACCACATTTTCTCTTGTTCCTTGTATATTATCATGGGAGCCATCATTCACATGTTGTGGTTAGTTCCTGCCATTCTTATATTTGGAGAAAATACACACAACATCTCACCCACGGGATACAGGAATGGAATGCTTTCTGATCACACTTGTAAACTTATATGTAGCATTGGAAGGGACTATAACTTTATTTTTGTGACAGAACCAGCCGGGACAAGGGCATTTGGGGGGGACTAAGGGCTAGCCTTCTACCCACTGATTATGGCCCACAGAGGAGACCGGGATTTTGTCTGCTACTCCCTGTCAGAGCATGGATAAAAGCTCAGTTCAGCTTCTGATTACATGTGATTACATGTGATGATGGATAACGTGATGAACACTGAGAGCGAGGCTTGGAATAATTCTCTGGATAAAGACAGTAAAGCTTTCCCTCTGGAGTGGATAGAAAGGTGTAATACTAATCTTGGACAGGTTAATGGTCTGGGGAAATATGGTGGCCCTCCTGCACACTGGGTTGGAGAAGCTCCTCCACTTGCAACAAAAATATTTATCAATATCTCCTTCAAGAAATCTAAGAAGATAAATTCATTCCACTTTTTCAGCCTGCTGGAAGAGTTTTGTCTTCTGATGACGTTTCTAGTGGACAGATGATACAAGTGGCAAACACCTGAAAGACAGCATGTGTAATGTACTTTGTATATCCAGTATCCAGGGGTGTGGGCTCCTAGCTGGCCTAGGTGCCTGGCTGTTTATTAGCTTACTGTTGATTAGATAACTGTTAGCTGCTAGCTGTTAATTAGATTACTGTTTGATTAGATCACTGTTAGATGTTATCTGTTCATTGGATGTACTGATGATATTACTATTTACAGTTTGCAATGTTTAGGATAATGTGATCAATCTCTTACCTGATTTTGTGTGGTATCAATTATGTGTGAGTTGACAGTAAAGAGAGTTCCAGATGCACCTGACCTATTGTTGTCTAGTCCTTGGGTGCAATGCCCAGCTACAATACCTTGGTCCTGGCGAGGAAGCAGTTTTCTGATGGAAGCACCCGGGCCGATGGTTGGTGGTGGGGGTGCTAGATGGTCCGCCACAATTTGATTTTTATTGTAAAATAAGAAATAAATTTCTTGATCTTGCTAAGTACTAGGTGTGTGCTAAAAAATATTTTTTTTTATTTTGGTCTACTTACTATTCATACTATTGATGTGAGCTTGTTCTTCTTAGAAAAGAGCTAATTTTTTTCCATAAAGCCATGTTGCTCATTTCCCATTGCTGTGTTCCTGCAGTCTCCAAATTATGAAAGGCCACAGTGGAGCACATGTAGGAATCCTATGCAGGCTTGATGCCAAGAAATTTAGCTAGGCCCTAACTTTCTTGATGCTATCCTGCTGTTAATGGGTAAAACATTTTCCTTGGCTCTTCAAAAGAAGATCTGGGAACTCTCTTACTTTTGGTTGAGTCTCCAACTCATCAGTATGACTATAGAAGCTCTGCTTCTTCTCAGAATATTTGCAGCTTTATTTCCAACCCATATTACAACTAGCACCTTTCACCCCACGTAGGCACAGAAAAGATCCTAGGCTATATTTCTGTCATAAGGGATCATTATTTCAAGTCTTGGCCATTGCATCAGTTACCATATCAAACAGCTACTTTTCTGGCAAAAACCCAGAATGGCTGTTTATTTTATTATTTTGTTAACTAAACCTGTTCTTGATAGTGAGACTTTCCATTTGCTAGGTGTTCATCAGGTGTGGTTCATGTTAGGAGAACAACAGATAAAGGATATTTCACCTTATTAACACTGGTGTAAAACTGTTATTTTCAGAATAAGCTACAAGGTATCATGGCAGGAAGCATTGCCGTTCATGATGTATGATCCTCCTCTTTTTTTCCAGTTCCACTGTCTGTATTCTTAAAGAATCTGTCTTGTGGCAATGGTTTGTCCACAATCAGCTACCTGGCCGTAAACATTGAAAGTCATTTGAAAGTCTGATGTATTTTGGGAAACTTCTACTGACACATTACCATGATACTTTGTGGACTATTTATAAAAAATGTCTCAAGCATTTGCACAGTTGTCAAAAGTAAGTCCCTTAATTTAATTAACATTAAGCCTGGGTTCTCATATATGCGGTGTGGTATATCGCATGTGACTTGCACCGCATTCCTGTGCAAATCACATGTGATTTGTGTGCGGTGCGATTGGAGCCATACATTTTGTATAGCTCTAATCGCACTGCACCAAAAAAGTGCAGGACCCTTTTTTGGGTCCGCACTAGAATTGGATTGCATGAGTATTCACACCTATGTGATCCGATTCTGCACATTGCGCCACGTTTTGGGGACTGCTTTCGGGGTGTTGTTAACTTAACATGCACACCCGCAGCGGTTCTCATGAACGGGGTGTGATTCTGATGTAGTGTGGAATTCGCACTGAAAATGCTGCGGATTCCAAACCGCATCTGTGTGAACCAGGGCTAAGTGTACCACATACATTATATATAATATCCAGAACACAAGACCAAATGTGGGGTTTTTAGGGTACAAACCATAAATAACAATGTCTTACTTTTAAAAATATTTGACTTTATTAATAGACATGTGCACGTCGGAAATTTTCATTTAATTTCGGATGCATTCATTCAATAAAGAATTTCATTTCAACATATTCGTTATGTTGAACTGATTCATTTTCAGAATTTGTTTTGTATCTTCGGCATTCATTTCATGTATTCATGGTCTGGGTAGATTCAGCATTTTTTTTGTGGAAGTTTGCTATATATTAATATATTATGGAATTAGATGGATTCAAATGGGAAGGATTCAAAATTTTAAGATGCTAGTCCAATTCACCAAGAGAAATAGCATGAGCTGATTGAACAATGTGGTGGTTTATGTAAGGATATATATTATTTATAAAGGGCGTGTCCCTTTCCCTTAGATGAAATATTACAGTGCCTCCAGCCGTTAAAATACGGCAAATATTTA